AATAAATCAGTGTTATTGTCAGATATTTGTATATTTGTTTACCTCATTAAGAAAACTAAATCTAAAAGAAATGTAATCGTTGGCCTATTGTTCTAAAATTCCAAGCCTTCTCTAGCTTTGGTCCAGTTTTGGTTCAATCAAAAACAAACTAATTTTGTTCGTAAATGCAAAATATTCCAAACTCATTAAAGTCACAATGTAAAACGTATCCACAGTTTGTTGGTACTTTCTGTCCTGGCCCAGCTCTTTTTTTTTTTAGATTCAGCCTCTGACCCAAATGAGTTGGACATTCAAAATGAAAAGTTGTCTCACATGTGGTGCATCGGCTCCCGACTCATGCATCTTCATGAGGAGTTACAGGATCCAAACTAAAGTGGCTTTAAACCTGGCAACAAGCAGGTGTTCAGTGACAGTCAGGGTAAATCCAAGGAGAGGCAAGTCTGCACCTGTTCATAATGAAAGTATTTTTAGCCAGTTGAAAAACGGAATACTGTAAAAACAGCCAAAGAAAAGATTAGAAAGATAGTGCCTTCTATGAATTAAATCAGTGACTTAGATGAATTTCCGCCCAGTTTTATTCCGGTTTTAGAATAACAAATGTCACACATTCCACAGGGAACCCCTCTGTGCAAAGCGGGTCTGTCTGTTCATTTATTCTTCCCACTTAGCAGCAGCTCGTGGCATCCTGCATGAAAGAGGTGAAAATTAGAAAACAATGCAATTGCCAAAGAGGAACCCAGTGAGTCACAAGATGCTTCTTCTCCATGTGGTGCGGCACTGGTTGGCTGTTATGAACACTTTATATTACAATAATGGCACAAAGGTAAAGTCATCAAGAACAATCATTTAACCATAGCTTCTATTCAATATAAAACTTTGAGACAAGATGAGACCTGGTGTTTAGTTAGATCTATAGATGTGACAGTCCAATAATACATGGATATGTGTAACTGTGCTCTTCAGGACTGCCAATACTGCAAGTTTTAACATTTCTTTAAAACAAAATAGATAACAAACAATGAAAACCAACAACTCGACATCACTGGAATGTTCTTTCAGTGATGTCTTTTCATTGAGATAACAAATATGTGGACACCCCCTGCAGGAGGTGTGTGTGAATGGTTGGTGGTGGTCTGAGGGGCCGATGGCACATACTGGTTGCCTCGCTTCTGTCAGTGTGCCCCAGGGCAACTGTGGCTAGAGCAGTAATTTATCACCGCCGTGTATGGAGTGAATGAATAATGACATGTGCAGCGTCTGAGTGTCCTGAAAAGCGCTATGTAAAACCAATGCATTATTATAATGATTAGATAATGACATTTGGGCCATTACTATAAAGCCTGTGATGTATCAAACAATCACGGTGGTGAAACATTGACCTAACCATACATGTTCCACCACATATATACAAACATAAATAAGGCTGTGACACAAAATGAAAAGGAAAAGGGGATTGAATCGTAGCACGCTGTTGCTTTGCTTGTGAGGTGGGGGTGGAAAGAGGGATGCGTGGGAGGACAAGAAGAGAGGGAAGAAGATGAAGAAAAAGGCGGGGGTTTCCCTTCAGAATGATCCCTGAGCGTCTCACAGGGGGAGGGGGGCTGCGGAGGTGAGCTCATTTGTATGGGAGCAGCAGGATCTGTGGGTGGTGGAAGCAGAAGACGGAATGACCATATTAGTCTCTACTAAAGATCGACCTTTTGACTCTGAATTTTCCATAAAAACATTACCACAAGGAAGAGTACTTATTTCACAAAAACATAGTTCCATTTAACTGATATTTGGCAACATATGCAGATATTTAGGTGAAGTGCAGATATTTAGGTGAATTTTTATTTAGCTAATTAGGACACATTCATAAATTTAATTTGTTTTGACAGCTTGGAATAAGATGCCAACATGTGTGATAACAGTTCTGTGATCTTCATGGGGATTGTAAGGATGATTCTAATTTACACCTGTAGTCCGTATAGATCATCTAAAATTATGGTACAAAGTTTTTCTGCTCATGAAGGGAAATTAAAATGTAATTTCTTTTAAATGAAAATCAGTTCACACTACTATGCGTCAGTAATCATTACCAAGGAGTCAATACCAAAGAGGAAAAAGTAATGCATCAAAAAACATAACAAACATTACCTATACTTTTTCTTGAGCTGACACTACTTTATCTCATTCTTACAGCACCTGTGTTCTCATTATACTTTAAAAGACATCTGCAGAATATCAATGAGATTGCAGTATGTATTCAAAATGCATTGAACGTCCCCTGTAAACTATGTAGGTCAGACATCGGAGCTGGGGCAGCATGAGGAGGGGATTCTGCAGGTTTTCTCCTCTCTGTCACATGACGTAGATGGAGCCACAAAAGGAAACCCCAATGCCGGGCCTGGATTGGCTGTCAGGTGCGTGAAGCCGTGTCAAAGATTGGCTGGACGGGCTGACATAATGATGGGAATGACGTGAAGCACAGACATGGACACTGGCTGCTCAAGGAATCTTTCCCAATGTCAAACAAATGACGTATCCTATTGTTTACCCAGAGTCTTCTCAGAATAAACCTGGTCTGATTTGATACTGACGGCTACAAAAGAGGCTATCGACTCAAGTATTATAGGTAAACAAACTGTCGTAATTTTGATTCATTAAACTATCAAATCTAGTGGGAGAGACATGCATTTAAGTGTGTCTCTAGCGGTCATCAAGCTATAGGAATAATGTATAGACACGTTTGAGTTATAAAATCTTGACACAGTACACACCTGCAGCTTCTCGAGTGACCTTGATTTTACCTTGAATAATTGAATATAAATCCTTGTGTTGTTTTCTACGCTGCGGTTCACTCCTACATAATTATCTAACACCCTTCAGTCACCATCTCACCTCTTGCAGTGTCTCACAGATGTGACTCATTATTCTGTGACTGAAAGCACTTGGAATGAAATGACATTTTTGGATTGGCTTCGAATGCTATTTTTGAGTCTACAGAAAGACAGTTTATTTTCTCTGCTTCTCTACCTGTAAAACGTTATTTAGGGAAATAAATATAACTACTTCAAACACAGGTATTACTTGGATTACTGTTTCTATAGTGTTTTCGAAGTAAACACTCATACAATCCTGTCGGTTGCAATCATGAAAATAGTAACACAGACGTGAAATGAATAATCGTCTAATGATGAGTAAATAACAAATAAATCCACTTGTGTTTGTTTAATGTATCATTTATTCACATATTTGAAAACATTTTTTATTCTAAAATAACACTTTTTTGCCAATTTGGTCCCTCTAGACTTAACATATAAGGAAGCAATATTATTTCCCTATTTATTTTCATAATGAAGCATTGTACTATCAAGCAAAGTTTAACCTCACAAAATCTGTTCATTTACAGCGTTCTATAGTATGACTCCAAAAATACAACATGTCTTTATAGTCCTACTAATATAAGCATCTTGAAAAATGAGCAAAATGTTGACAATCTGTAGAGTATTTTAAAATGAAGTAACTATAAACAAAACAGGGAACCCTCATGCGAACCTATGCACAGCATCAATGCATTTGACAGGCGACTGGTAACAGCACACATTACCACATGATTTGCTCTGTCTATGGGGACACCCATGGACTCTATTCAGAATTCAGCTTTGTACAAAGTGAGGCTTTCACTATAAATGTAAATACGCTCCTACACATTTCTAGTGTTTACTAGTGAATAATGGCAAAGTGTCCCAGGACAGTTAAGTGTGAAAGAACACCTTTAGCTTTGACTCAGCATGGCCTCCTGAGTGGAAACTGCTCTGAAACGGCCTCGCTCGCTGCTCTCCTGGGAGAATCACTTGTATTTTTTGAGTCATTGTGTTCCTTAATGAGAGCTGCAGTCTCTATGTCAGGGCCCACTCAGTGGCAAGAGGATTGATATTATGAGGACAGACCAAATGTCGTCAAACTGTGAATAGAGCAACAAGCCCTGAATGAGCCACAGACAGTTCTTACTTTATGGCACAGAAATAAATACATATTACAATCATGTAATCACAGGAATATAGGAGAAAAGAACATATTCTTATAGAGTTATTATGAAGACTTAAGAATGCTCTAACCATGGGTTCATGTGGCGTAGGCTGAACACGACACCGGTGTGCAGTAATGGGATGTGAAAAATGTGACCTTTGCAACAATAAGCAACTCTGTCCATGGACCGACTGGAGTTGAACACTTTCTTGTGAGACAAAAACAGTAAACCAAATCAAGCATTTAAATTGAATGCATATAAAAATATAAGATATGTTACCAATCAGGGAACTGAAATAAATAAGATTTGAAAAACATCACTAATGCAGATAAAAACAAACTAAATGACTAGCCTACATTCAGAAGAATATCTTCTATTTTAAATAAAAATGGTTCTCATATATTCAGTGTCTCAGTTGCTCCAAACAACGTATTTTCTCAGAACCATCACAATCATAATCCATAAATAAATCATACAATATCATGAGAATATTAAAAACGCACAGTTATATGCATTTACTAAGCACATTTTCATATGGATATACTAAGCTTTTTCTCCTCACAAAATCATTTACTCTCGAAGGTCGTGCCTGAAGTGAAGCTATTTCCTAATAGCACCAGGTTTCACAGTGGATGACTTCACACAACCTGCACTATTTCCCTTTTATTATGAGAGCTGGAGCTGAGCTAAGTAATAATAATAATCATAATAATAACAATAACAATAATATATTATATTTATGTAGCACTTTAAATATACCTCAAATAAGCTTTACAGATAGTAATGCTAAAACTCAACCGAAAAGTGAATGATGCTGGGGATTATGTATAAGTCTGATTAGGGTATTGTATTATAAACCAACAAAACATAGGTAAATAAATGAAAGAATTGACAGCAACGTTCTGGTGGTTTTAGTCCAATATTAGTATACAGAGACATCTAAACATAGGCGTTTGTAGGAGTGACGTGGAGGTGTTGAGCACTGCTACACTGGGCTGTGTTCAGGGGAGGTGTGTGTGACTGTGACTGCCACGCTCACACACTCTGCTGCTGAATCTCTGCTGCTTCGAAGGCCTAGGTACAGTTTTTCATCCAGGTGTGTGCTGAGTTTATCGGTTAGCTCCGCTGTTATGGTCTGCGGGCCGTATCCTGAGGAGTCCGGGGCCCGAGAAGGGGACCGTTCGTCAGGGGGCTCGGGCGGCACAGAGGACTGTTTGGTTTCTTCAAGATCCCCAGGTTCAAAGTCTGTGGCGTGAGAGAGTAGACAAGATGCAGAGGTGATGGGAGCTTCCTGACCCTTTGATTCATCCTTTGCACTGGTGGTGACAGTCTTTGGAGTTTCGGGAGCGCTGCCTGTCCCGCTGCTGGTGTCCTCATCAGGTGCGCTCACTATTCGAGGCAGTGTGCTGTGGTAGCTCGTGTCAATGGGGTAGTTCACACTTTCTCCACGTCTCAGAGGAGTTCTTTGTCTCTCAAAGGATGAATGTAAATGTCTGACACCAGGATCACTCCACTGCTTGTGCCGTTGCCACTGCTTGCGGAGGTGAATCCTTGACCTATGTTTTTTGAGAGGTGACTCCTGTAAGTCAAACTGGGGATCATGACGGAGGAATTCATGGAAAAGAGCGTCTGTTTTTTCGTCTATGCTATAGTCTCGTCGATGTAACGCTGGAGGAGGGTTGAATGGAGGCTGAGATGCTTCTCTAGGATTAAGCATTTGACCGTATGGCTGCCAGCTCAAAGAACTCGCACTGGTTTCTGTGGATACTCCACCTCTGGCACCTGACAGCTCGTCATCACGGTCCTCCTCAAAGAGATGAGACTCAAAGCTCTCCCCGATTGTGCCAGAGCGCCCTGCGCGGGTGAAGTGGTGTCTCTTCTCATGAGCCGTTCTGTCATTGGGGCTCCCGTTGCCGAGTAGTCTGAACTCCTCTGGCCCCCGATAAGGAGCCTCTATCGAGGCGTAGCCACTGTCCATCTGCAGAAGTTTACGTGTTGTTGTTTCTCCATCACTGCCTCGCTCGGAGTCAGTGCTCCCCTGTTTTTGTTTTCTTACAACTCTCCTTTCCATCTTCTCCTCTGTGTGCACTGTAAACTCTTTCTCCTCATCATCACCCTCTGCCTCGTCTCCTAGGTCCTGGGATGGGTAGCTGGGCAGCTCCCCTCTCTCAGCCTCAGTGCGTCCTCCAAGTGAGCACACACTGTCGACATCACTGCAGACAGAATTCCTGTCGTTGTTGCCGCTTTGGTCGGAGATTGCGTACTGCTCCAGCGTGGCGCGTAGCGTCCAGATGTCTCTGTAAAGTGTCTGTGGGTCCTGGGAATCAGCCGTGTCTAAGGAGTCGGGTGTTTCCCTCATCCCCAGGGACACTGCTTCATCTTGGGGATCAGGAGACAGGCCAATCACCCCTGGTCCTTCATGTCTGGAGCTTGGTTCTACCATGACCTCCACCTCTACCCTGTAGTATGCACAAATGTAGGGACAAAATTAAAAAACAAACTCAGAAGAGAAAAAAACAAACTGGTGTCTCCTTAACCATGAGTGGTCACCACACAATGGTTTAATGACTAGCAATGGCAGTTGTCGCATGTTATTAAAGTGTTGTGATATCAATGAAAAATGAAATCTGGAGACACCAGAATCATGTGTTATGTATTATCATTGGAAATGGGCTTTCAAGTAGGTACTTGTGTTGTCTTAAATTACAGCTCACAGGAAATTGATTTCCTTTGTACAAACACACAAAAACACACAGGACGACACTGCTTTCATTTAATCTAGAAACCAGTCCCAGAAAATAACATCTCATGTAATAGGTTTTCTACCATAAGCACAAACACCCCATTAAAGTTCAAATGACTAATTCATCAGCTCTGCTCAATGGTGACTTTGTATTTCTTGGAACTAAATGCAAAACTATACATTAGAAAACAATTGGGAATCAAGGCACTTTCAATTCTAACCTCTTACTAGCTGTAAGTTCATGTTTAAGAAAATGACAATTGAAAACACTCTTTACTCAAAAGCTGAATTTTCTTTTCTTTTCTTTTCTTTAGCTTGATGTTTGTGTATATGGGAACAAGGCAGCAAAGCAGTGGTCAGGATGAATGGCAAGGAAATTAAAGATACCTGCCGAGGGAGGGGGGAGGAGTGGAGGGAGGAGAGAGTTGGCGGGTGCTGGTCTGGCTTGGCCTGTAGGAGGCGTCGCGGGTGCGGGCGATGTACTGAATAAGGTCTATGCGGTGTGTATCATTGTCATCTTGGTCCATGCTCTCACTGGCTGCTCTCTGCCGCTGGAAGTGCCTCCTCTTTGGTGAACCTAGAGAGAAAATGTGTGATTATATTGGATAAAATGCTGATTTATCTATAGCGGGACTAATGTATTATATGGTATGTGTATGGATTAGATAGACTGATCCACGAGGAAATCTCTAAAGGGTTTAAATGACTTGGACCATTGAATATATGCGTCACAGAGCCATCTGTTGTATGTGAGAGTGTGAACGGTACAGCATATCCGAAGCTGAGCCACCTCACAGTTGGGTACTTTAGCCTATCGCTTAGAAGGGTCTGTTTACCATCTTGAAACCCATCATCAAAACAAACATTTGACGTCTTACTTTGAGATGAATGAGAATCATAACATGCACTATTAAACACAATTGTGCAGTGATGCAACCATTTTAGGCAATACATTACAGAATGATCCACTCTACCTCTTGTGTCCAGACTCGAGGCTCTCTGGCTGCTGTCCAGCTTCCACTTTTTGATCTTCAAGTATGGACTGGCTCCCTCCAGGCTGGCATGACGTCTCAGTTTTGTGAAGAACTGGAGCATGGGTCCCTGGCCCCCCGCTCCACTGATAACAGGAGGGGTGCTGGTACCCCCATGAGGTCCTTCACTCACACGAGCACTGCTACCTCTGCTCTGGGCCCCTGCTGTCATCATCTCAATCTGGCAGTAGCAAAACATGTGTTGGAAAATACCACTGGTGATGTGTGTAATCGCACTGACAAGGAGGTGAGACTCAAACAATGGGACTTTTCCCAATTTAAATCTACCATGATATCAGAAAAATGTGCAAGCAATGGTTCTATAGAATGTCAAAGCCCAGTACCTTTATTATCAGTTTAAGCCATTTGTGACACAATATACACTTGTACAGACTTCAAATATTATCTTACCGAAGTAAGATCTTTTTCCTTCTGATTGAAGTTGGTGTCCACCACAGAGTTGAGAGCGTCTCCAGGCAGGGCACCACTGGGGCTCAGACTGGTCAGAGGGGTCTGTGGTAAGGGACACAACATGGGCTGTGGGGAGGAAATACTAGAAGGTTAATGTCTCATTTAATGAATCCTACTGTGGTTGCTTCTGCAATTAGAGGCCGTAATTATGATATATTGAAATCAGAATGAGATCTTGCACTTGCTTAGTGCACACATCTTTGATCTACTGGAGCATGCTTGTGCAGGAAGCAGCACTCTCTATTTTTAGGTCCATTAGATTGATTCATGTCCAAGCCCTGACCTAAGTAAATGATGGTCTAATTGGCTGCTGTCAGGACTAATGAAGCATCAGGTCGGTGTAGTCACCTGGAAGATGGAGAGTGCAGATTTGGTGGGCGGTCGTGTTGTCATAGTGATGGTGTTTTCGGCAGAGTCACACTCGTGGATAGTTACAATCTTCAGTGCTGGAGCCGGGATGCTGAGGTTTGTGAGCCTAGCGTTCTTCAGGTGATGGAAGTCGCCCTCTGTCAGAGTGTACCTGTGACACACAGCAATAACATTTAGCTATGAGTCATTTTAACCAACAGCACTTCAAAAAGATAGAATAATGAGCAGAAACTAGAAGGGGGTAGTGTTGGAGGTTAGAAAGTTAAAAATATTTCCAAAAATCTATATTGATTTAGCATATTTGAAGAAATGGGGAACTGTCACTTCATATTTATTCATATTTATTAATATTATAATATCCTATTTATAGAGTCATGACACCAGCTCTTTATCCTCAATTCTTGCAGCACAATGTTGTCATAAAACACTTAAAGAAGAAGAAATAGGGTTTTATACGCACACACATGAGGGGAATGGATTGTTGCTGCAAAGGAGAAGTTCTCACTAAAACAAATTTAGACCAATTTCTGCACACTGTTAAAGAGAAAATGTGTCAATTGCATTTTTCACGTTTTAATTAAATGGGGAAAAAAAGTGCTGCATTTATATAATTTTTCAGTCTTTTTGTAGATGAGTATATTGATAATACATATCAAAAACATTTCAGAAAATTATATTATTTTTCATTCAGACCAATTATCTCCAGTTCAGAAGTATAAACAGGTGTTGGGTTTTCAATATTTGCTTAATACGACAAACTTTATTTATGAAGTGCTTGACAAAAAAAGTAGCAGAGTGCTTTAAATAAAATGAATCCCACATGCTCAATGACCACCATCACTACAGTCACCCCCAAATACTAAAGACCACAAAGTCAGTCATATATTTGTCCACACACACACACACACACACACACACACACACACACACACACACACACACACACACACACACACACACACACACACACACACACACACACACACACACACACACACACACACACACACACCCACACTAAACCAGATGCATTATAAGCAAGTAATCTAGTCACATTTCTTCCCCAAAGTCTGCATTCTGAAAGTTACAGTTAGGTCTAATGTCAGTTACAGACAGTTACGCCATAGAATTGACTTTCCAAAATTCAGTTATAAATAACCAGGAATATTATTGAAATAGAAATAAAACAATGATCTTTACGCTTGTCCTTATTGATCTTGAGGTTGTTGGTCTAAGATGAGCAAAAGCTGATTTTCCCAAACACCTTCCATCTTATTATCACCTTGTCAATCAGTACGGACAACAAAAATGCTTAAATCAAGCCTTGATGCAGACACAAGAGCTTTGAAAAACAGATGATCGTTGCGGCTTTGGAGGAAAACGTCTTGTCAATAATGTGTGGTCAAATTTTGAATAATTACTGTCTATTATGTGTTCATTTTAATTTGTAATTATTAGAACCACATTCAGCCATTGATCCCCTAATGCACTAGAATTGAGTTTCTTTGTACCTGCGCCCCTTTTCCTGAGCTTTCTTGCTGTGGTCAAACAGTGCAGCTTCATTGAACGACACTCGCCGGCCGGTGGTGCCCGTGGACAGGAAACGCTCGGTCTCCTGATCATGTGAACTTGCCATGGACAGACAGTCTGACTCATCCACCCTGATGGTGATTTCTACAGACAGCCCAGGGAGACAGAGAGAAGGAAAGTGGATTAAATTATAACTGCAATTCACTTGTATTTACAGTAAACACAGCATTCGGATTACACTTCCTGTTCAGCGTCATCTGCTCCACTCAAATATCACCTGGCTCTTAAAGTCTGAGAAAAACAAACAATCCAGCATATTGTTTGAGAATTGTGGGATAAAGTGTGGTGCCATAGATGTTTGAGTTGTGAAAAACTTTTGATAGAAGCAGAACGCATTACACCTTCCAGAGATCTCTAAATGTATTCTGTGTATGGTGGGCGCCACATTTTAGTCGGTTCAATTATTTAGTGATTGAAGACTTGTTTTTCTGAATTAAAATGTGTTTGACTCTTCTCTCTCCCATTTGGCCACTGCTGTCTGTCTTACCGTGGGTGGGGTGCGACTCTTCCATGTAGGTGGTGGTGGTTTTTTCCGGATCGTCGCTGTCCCTGGGGAACACAGGTACATTTAGATGCATTTTTTCTAATCCAAAAGGAAATTGTGCATTGGACCTTTGCTCACATTCGCACAAACACAGCAGGATAAATAAGAAGTAAAAAGAAATAGCAATAAATAAATACATGTATAAAGACATGTGCTGCTCCTAATTTCACACTTTCATCAGATGGACTTGTCTGCAGGGGAGCCATTTGAGCTACAGTATATAACTTTTTAAATGGAGAACAAAAAGAACGTATTTGTTGTATTAGTAATACAGCAATATCTTCTATATGGACAGTTGTGAAATACTTAAGATCATCTCCATGGTTTGAATGACCCATTACTCTCAACAGCATAAGTTATATTCGTTCAAATACGTTTACATAAGTTAGATACTATTTACTTCTGTTGAACACATTCAGAGTGACTGTCAGAGTTAGCTGTCAGAGTTGTCAGAGTTAACAAAACAGAACTAGCTGGTAAACATCAGTCTATAGTAAAGCATTAGACAGTCTAAGCACACTTCTACGCATAAAAACACGCCACATAAACAACTCTCCACCTAGCATAACATACTGCTGCCGTTTGTATAGTACTGTGACGACGTCAAGATGAAATTTTTATATGAAAGTCAAGTGTGAAAATTGTCTCCATTTTGTGTGGAGCCTGGAAGAACCGGCAGACTCATTTATTTAAATGAGTGCATTTGTATTAGAATATGTTGATATGCCTGATGTTGGTTGTGTCTCTGTATTTGTGTTAATGGTGTCTTATAAGCCCAAATGTGGGTATGCAAGACACTGTAACAAAAAATGACCTATCTATTTATCTATCTATCTATAAGTAACCTCCAATCCACTGTTTTGTAAACCTCCACTTCCATATAGTGTGCGTTGCTAAGGAGAGTCGCACAAGTCTGTTGTTTCCTTTCATTTCCTCTGTGGCTCCTAGTTCCCCGCACCCTGTGGATGTGTCTGGGTTTGTACACAGAGCTGGGTTGAGATGCTAGATTAATCACCCGCGGCTGCTATGAAATCTCATTAGACTCATCGTTTGTACCGGTTTGGCTGCGCCCCGTTCTCGCCTGTGCCGCCATGGCCCGTGTCACATCCTCACCGCCAAAGCCTGGTGGTTATCTGTATCATATGCCTGTATATCTGTCCTTTTGTGGTTATGTGTGCAACAGAAAGTGGGTCCTTCTGAAGGATGATAAAACATCAATGAATGATGTATGATAAATGCATTTCGACCTGTGTTTTTCAAACAGCCCCACTGGGCTCATCATGTTTGGATATTTACATGTCTCTTTAGTTGTCTATATGGCTACATAATAATAACAATGCAGTTATATTTTATCGTCAAGGGAGTTTTGTTGAACTATTAGCTAATTGAATAGTAGAATGTGTGTGTGTGTGTGTAGACGAGAGAGCGTTTTGTGAAGCACTCCTAAAAGGTCCAAACACTGACTAATGCACTCACCAACTCCTGTGCCCTTGTGCACATGCAGATGTGCACAATGCGAATGGAAACATTATTTTTACGCACATATAGGGTCCTTATCAGTGAATGGATATATGCATATCATTGACATGCTTTGCACAAACAGGGACCCTGAACATGATCTAGAATGCATGCTCTCTGAAAAGGTTTTATATTACGCAAAGCAAAAGTATCGTCATATTGTATTGTACTGTATAATTTATTTCATATCTCAAGACCAACAATGTTCTTTCACCCACTGAGCCATAACAAAAACATCTCTAAGTTGGTTATTCCTAGTGGCACTTTAAACAATACTAGAAATAGATGTTTAAGTCACACCCATCCTGCCTTCATAATGGGAATGAGTGTTTAAATGACTTATTTCAACTTATTGAGTGTTTGAGTGTCACATACAGACCTACACCATAAAGACTAAGTTGCAGAAGCCTAAAATGCTGATGTGGACTAACCTGCAATGCTTTGGACATGCACACATATGGAGGAAATAGGAACTGTTTTTCGGACACCCACCCATGGAAACTTGTGCTCCTTGTATGTTACTGAAAAGGAATTTGTGGAGATTACTTCCACTTCTGCAAGCTGCATCCCGTCCAAACGGGACGAAACACTGGTGTTGGGGGCAGCCAGAAATTTGTTGGAAGAAGAACAGGCAAAAGGCTTAACGCTGGCAGTTAAGCATTTAGAAGTCTGAATTTTGATGATGAAAAAAGCTCTATAAATATATATATACTGTATATAAACACCCAACAACCAAGGAAAGTAGAGAAGTTGAAAGTGCTTAGTATGGCAGAAGTTATTTACATACAGAATAATGTTGCTAATAAATACTAATTAAGTTGAGCCGAGTTTAGCCTTCAGTGAATGTTTACACTTAGAAGTATTGAGACATCTAGTGTAAAAAGCACCAAGCACCTTGCTGCAGCTATCAGCTTAGTTTCAGCCACAACTCTCCTCCTCCACATCATCGCTCCCCATTTCCCCTTCGTCACCAGTCTCAAGACCATGGATTTCATTTTCATATACATTTGAATGCCCACCTCCTTATTCATCGAGAGGCTGACTCAGCGACAAACCATATTACATACCAGCAACAGCCAATAAGAAACTAGCAGCTTATTTACTTGCAATATTACTCAATAAACAATACTTGGAGTAAATAGAAACAGTTGGATAGGGTTTTGCTAGTATGCCCCAGTTGTTCTCAGCAGCGACCAGTTGTACTGCAGCAAAAGCACCTTCCACTGATTTTTCCCCCAGAGTCCACAAATGGCTCCTGCTCAACCGGCAGGGCATCCACAGTTTTCACAAAGGTTGGATTTTGTGGATATTATTGTCTTCATTGTGATCATTATTGTATTTGTTATTCTTTGTAAAATCCTTTGGTTATATAGAAACTCACCCACAGGACCTTCATCAAAAATGGTAGTTATTGTGTTGGTGAAAAACACGCAGTTTGTTTTAATGTGGCGTTCCAATGGTAACTAGAAACTTGCAATGGCTGAAGCCATTGCGATTGACTGCGGAACAGATCTAATGTGGAAATCTGCTAAAAAAAATCCTTGAAATCCTTTAAAAGGCCTTGAAACTGTTAAAATACTTGATAGATATTTGAAACTCCTGCATTCCTTGAAATTGTTGAAACCTTTAAACTCCTGAAATCCTTGAAACTGTTGAAACATTGAAACTCCTGAAATCCTTGAAACTTTTTTAAACCTGGAAACTGTTGAAAGTGTGGAAACTCCTGAAATCCTTGAACTTCCTGATATCCTTGAAACTGGTTAAATTCTTAAACAGTTGAAATCCTTGAAACTACTGAATGTATTGAAAGTGTCCTTGAAACTGAAAAATCCCCTCACCGCTGAAACAATTTGGTTCCTGTAACTAAGGAAACCTGGTCTGTGGTCATTATCTGGTGGTGGTCTGAGTCTTCGTTTGGGTCTTGGTCTGGTGGTATAATGCAACCTATTAGGTTGCATTATACTGGTTTACATGGAAAATCCCTATTAAGTTGCATTATACTGGTTTACATGGAAAAATCTCTATTAAGTTGCATTATACTGGTTTACATGGAAAAATCCCTATTAGGTTGCATTATACTGGTTTACATGTACAAATCCCTATTAAGTTGCTTTATACTGGTTTACATGTAAAAACCCCTATTAGGTTACATTATAGTGGTTTACATGTAAAAATCCTTATTAAGTTGCATTATACTGGTTTACATGTAAAAACCCCTATTAAGTTCCATTATACTGGTTTACATGTAAAAACCCCTATTAAGTTCCATTATACTGGTTTACATGTAAAATCCCTATTAAGTTGCATTATACTGGTTTACATGAAAAAAACCCTATTAAGTTGCATTATACTGGTTTACATGGAAAAATCCCTATTAAGTTGCATAATACTGGTTTACATGGAAAAATCCCCATTAAGTTGCATTATACTGGTTTACATGGAAAAAACCCTATTAAGTTGCATTATACTGGTTTACATGGAAAAATCCCTATTAAGTTGCATTATACTGGTTTACATGGAAAAATCCCTATTAAGTTGAATTATACTGGTTTACATGGAAAAATCCCTATTAAGTTGCATTATACTGGTTTACATGGAAAAAACCCTATTAAGTTGCATTATACTGGTTTACATGAAAAAAACCCTATTAAGTTGCATTATACTGGTTTACATGGAAAAATCCCTATTAAGTTGCATAATACTGGTTTACATGGAAAAATCCCCATTAAGTTGCATTATACTGGTTTACATGTAAAAAAAACCCTATTAAGTTGCATTTTACTGGTTTACATGGAAAAATCCCTATTAAGTTGCATTATACTGGTTTACATGGAAAAAACCCTATTAAGTTGCATTATACTGGTTTACATGAAAAAAACCCTATTAAGTTGCATTATACTGGTTTACATGGAAAAATCCCTATTAAGTTGCATAATACTGGTTTACATGAAAAAATCCCTATTAAGTTGCATTATACTGGTTTACATGGAAAAATCCCTATTAAGTTGCATAATACTGGTTTACATGGAAAAATCCCCATTAAGTTGCATTATACTGGTTTACATGAAAACAACCCTATTAAGTTGCATTATACTGGTTTACATGGAAAAATCCCTATTAAGTTGCATTGTACTGGTTTACATGGAAAAATCCCTATTAAGTTGCATTATACTGGTTTACACGGAAAAAACCCTATTAAGTTGCATTATACTGGTTTACATGGAAAAATCCCTATTAGGTTGCATGATTACACTGAAGTCCTTGAAACTGTTGAAACCTTGAAACTGTTGAAGTCCTTGAAACTGTTGAAGTCCTTGAAACTGTTGAAACCTTGAAATTGTTGAAACCTTGAAACTGTGGAAACCTTGAAACTGCTGAAGTCCTTGAAACTGTTGATGTCCTTGAAACTGCTGAAGTCCTTGAAACTGCTGAAGTCCTTGAAACTGTTGAAGTCCTTGAAACTGTTGAATCCTTGAAACCTTGAATC